TAAACGGTAACCTGGCCCGAAAATTGACGTCAAATAAAAGAGATCAACAAAAAAGTGCTTTTTTATTGGATTTACCTAATCTAAATCTAAGCAGATATAAGCTGGTTTAGGCGATTCTTGGCCTTGTCAATGAAACCGACGTAAACTTGATTAACCTCCGTCGATTCTTGATTCATTCAAAGTAAAGTTGGCTTATCGCGCTAATTGACATTAATTATGGCTAAGTCTGGAAAATACATTTATTAACAATGAAATCCGAATCGAATCGGCGAGACTCAGTTTGCGTCAACTCGATTCAGCCGAATTCGCATTCAAATCTTAACAGTCGGACAAACAAAAAACAAAATAATTATTCAGGATGTGTTTTGTTTTTGCGCCACTTGTTTTGACAGTCAAAGTTGACTGAATCACAGAAGATTATTTAAAATTTTGCAAAAAAAATATAAAAAAAGGCCCCTTTATCGGAGAAATCTTTCACACAGTATCTCAATATCTCATTCCGCTTTGGCAGCCAGCGAAACCTGAACCTGAACCGTTTGCTTCCTACCGGTTATAACCGGTACGATTCGCCTTGCATTCGCAGTTGCTACCACATTTTTCACTACCAACAAATAAGCCAACAACAATGTCGCATCCACAACAAGTCACTGCAAATTGAATTAAAATAATTTCTAGTTTTACAGGCACGCAAGACGTCTTAATATCATTTGGTTATTTTCTCAGTATTTTTCGAGATTTGTTTTGATTATGTGATTTGTCCAAAACAGCTTAGTTAGCTCGGTCACTGTATAAATTTGAATACCTAATTCACAATTTCCGAAAAGTTTGTTTGGGAAATTTGTTTTGTCTTTCAAGGCAAAACAAACAAATTTGATAAGCTCGTCAAAAGCGAAGAGCTCCAAATTCTTAGCGAAACTTTTCTTAAAAAAGAATCAAATGTCTATTCTGTTTCTTTTTTAAGAAGATTATTATAAAATTTTGAACTTACGAAATTATATCATTATTAAATTTTGTCAAATTTTACAACTAGTTTATAAACCAGTTAAACATTTTTATTATTACTGATAAATATTGTATCAGTAAACTTTATTAAAAAGTAAATTGGAGAATATTATAAAAACGCAATTATTTTGTATGTTAGAAATAAATTTGTACAATTTGTTCAGCCAAGCATAAACAAATTGAGTAATTTTAACACAAATATGCAAGCCTATACACAAAAAACAATGAACAATAGTAACAGAATATCGGTGCTTATAAATAAGCGATCCAACTGCCTTTCAAAAATTTTGATGTGGAATTACTTCCTACTGTTTGCTCACAATATTTATTGTTTTTTTTGTTTGACACCCAGTGCCCCACATTCATTTTTTCAAGGGCTCCAACCAATATTAGGTATTTCTGTTGTTTATTTTCGTCATCAAGAAAAGCGAAAACAAAACAGAAAAAATTATACATATCATAAAATCCACATAACTCACTCACACAGAAAGAGCCGAAAAATGTGTTTTGATAAAAAATGTTTGTGGATACTCATTAAAAGAGAAAAGAAAAAAAATCACCTCAACGAATCCAAAAAAAAAAAAAAAAAAAAAAAAATACTATTATAGAAACGGCAAAGGGAACACTTGTTGAAGAATGCTGATGCCGCTTAAAAGTCTGCCAAAACACTTGGAACTAACAAACGACTTTGAAGGCCAGCGGTTCTAACCGGATTTGTGAATATAGGCGCTATCGCCTGATCTTGTAACGGACCATTAAAATGCACTTTCGGTTAAGTAAACATATTTTTTGTCTGCCCCTTGATAACACGGCAAGGCGATAAGGAAGCCCACTGAAAGGCGAAACTATCGATAAAGTTAAGTAGGCAAAATTGGCGTTTAAAAACACATTTTGTAAAGTTCTCCCACCTGATCAACAAGTGTTTGTCTCTCTCTATCTCTCTCACCCACTTGGCGTTCTGCGACTGCGACGTCGGCAGAATCGGCGGCAGAGGGTTAAGCGAGCGGTTCAGTTTAAAGATCGGCAGAGTTAGTTAGTCTGCAATCGCCGGGACTCGCAGTCGAGTCGTCGGATCAAACAAACATATAGAAAAACAGAACCCCGAAATTTCGAAAAGATTAAAATCAAATCATAAAACGGAACAACACGCTCGTCTTTTATTGTGTCCCAATATTCGTCGGCTATCGCACAATTCACTTTTCGGTTGATAATCGCGAGGTGCGTGTGTGAAATTTTTGTACAAACAGAAGAAAAATAAGCTCCAGTTATTCGATCGCTATTTTCGCCGATAAGGTGATGGCCAAAAATAATGAGTACATAGAACTGTAAGTAGCCAGTGGGATTCGTCATCAATGGTTTCATAGAATTGTCACAGGAAAAACAGCTCTGGAGTTATCAGGGTCCAAGGTTTAAGACGCACTTTTCAGCTGGGCTTATCACTCGGGCTTCGATTCAGCTCGGAATGTTTTTATTTGTTTCGGTTTATCTTTCCTGCACAAGGCCAATCAACAGAAACAAAATGTGTTCGATAGTGGAACAACATCTCGAAAGAGTGGATTAAAATGATTTATATCATATCTCTTAGTTATAAAATTACTAAAAGCTTATTAAATAATTTAAACAAACTCCCAACTTAAAATGAAGAAGAACAATGCAAGTTTGTTGAAAAATATTTTTGAGCGAAAATTCATAAAGTTCTACTTTTTTTCAATACATTTACATAAACTTCAACATTTTATAAACTCAAACTATTGCTTTCAGAACTGTAAGGGCATTAACTTCTTTTAAGAAAATTACTATATGAAAAATAATATTCTACAAAATATTAAATCCTTTACCTATCATTACTATTACTATTACTAAAAATTAAAGAAAAAAAGTTATTCCTAATAGCTTTAATTCTCCAAGAAAATCACTCTTATTCAAATTAACATTACTTCTAGGAATCTGTTCCTAAAAATATTATACTCCGTCACCATGTACTTGAACCTTCAATTTATTAAAGGCATAAACAAGAGAACCTGCTATATCAACACGATAAGCCTTTGACTCCGCCAGAATTTTCGGTTCTGGACCCAGCCCAACTTGTTTCTTTGCTTTGACACCGAACGACCGCCTATTTAAACAAAACCAAGTGCAAATTATATAGCAATTCACTGTCTTGTTGACAAAGTATACAACATCGGTTATTAAGTTAATATCGGACCCCAAATTAATGTTTGTTGTTGTGACTCAGGTGCTGATAAGGCGATCAAAATGCATGATGGAGAGGGCAGGTAGAGGGAAGTACTATAATTAGTAAACCCTGGCTAGACCCAGTTTAGACCGGCAATTGGCAGACAGCCTGGAGTGTCCGTCTCTCCGGCTGTCAGATTGTCTTGTCTATATATTTTATTCAAGTACCATATAGATTAAACATTTCACCGACTGATAAGGCAACGCGCGGCGACAGCGACTCGAGATGATGGGCTATATAGAAATAAACCTTTATGCAATGCAAATTTTCCATCGTAATGCTGTCTGATCTTGAGATTAACTAAAATTAACCAGTTTGTGTAAATAACAAAGACAAGTCTTTTATTCCCTGGATGACACATAAAACGTACTTTTCAGTTTTGCCAATTCAATTTAAAAATAGCTGATATTTGTACTATAATTATATTGTGCTCAAAAATTGTAAGATCACTATAATTTTCAAACACTAAAATAAATGTCAACTCTTATTGTCTATAAATCAGATATTTTATCGTCACTTTGCTCCCAAATAGGTTACCCTATGACATAAGAAATTCTTAGCTTTTGACTAACTGAAATTCCAGCTAACAATTTTCAGTTTCACAAAACTTAAGCTTAAGAGTTGAGCTCAGCTTAGAATTGAATTCCAAACATGAAAGAGCCAAGCCCATTATTAGGTCAACAAGACTTCCCCTCTCAGCGGACACGTCGCACAAATTAAATTGCAATTTCATTACAAAACTGCAAAGAAAACTAAATCCAAATGCAAACAGAGAGTAACAATAACAGCTAATGAATTCATTTGCAATAAAAGTTGGCCAACCGCTCGTAAATATCCATTTATTTCATTGGCTATGAAAAAATTGAAGCACGTGTATTTATGAAAACGATGCAATGAAGTGCAATGGCAAATATATCAAAAGCAAAATCAACTCATTGTTTAAAGCCCATAAAAATTTTAAATTTGCATGAAATTGAAACCCATCAGCAAACCAACAATTTTGCAACTGGGAAATGCAGCTAAAAGTTCTCGGACTGCAGATGACAATTTTTCTATAAGTTTGACAAGTGTTTTCTACATAAACTACAACTGTGACAATGAGTTTGGCAGTGACATTCGATGACAAATCATTGATGTTTATTCTGAATTTTAAATTCCATGAAAACAATTTCAACTGTTTGGTGAACATAAAATAAAGGCAAAACAGAAAACTTCAATTTAAAGGCAAATAAAACAAACATGTGAATTTTGTTATTAAAAAAATCTATACTTACATTGATTAAAAACTGAATGTTATTATTCCACAAATATTTCATTCGTTTTATTTATTATACGTTTATCAATGATTTTTATATGCAATTAATTAACGCTTTGCAAAAAATTTTATCAAAAAGAGTATACTATCTTCACCATTTATAACACCCGCTATTTGCCTATTTTATGTCGATTTTTATACGCCGCGATCAGTTAAATGGGAGGTTTGTGTGGGTGTTTATTTATACTGCTAAAGCGCATTTCAATTAGGCGATTCACAAGGCATTTGCATATTCAGCTCAGGTCCGAGTTATTATTTTCTAGGCCTGGGACTAAGGTTGTTTTAGCTGAGGTAACCATAAACGTAAGCGATAAGAAATTCGAATTACATTAAACGGTTTTTTATAGCAAGTTTATAATGGAAGAAATTGATTAAACATTTTCGTCTCATTTTCCCCTACTAATTGAAAAATATAATAATCAAGGCTTTTTAATTATTTTTTTACAGACCTTGGACAATGAACTCCTCAAGCGGAGATGATGAGGCGCCAAAGGATCCGCGCACTGGCGGCGAGGATTTTACGCAACAATTCACAGAGAACGATTTTGAGGGTGAGTCCAGCTTCGCTTTTTCTTTTCAAACATTATTTTTAATTGCTTACTGAACAAACTGATAAGTAAAACCTGAATAAAAATTATTGGGTCCACGCATGTGCCGAAATAAAAGCGGACTTGTAAAACCAGCCTAGTGACAAATCGATAGGCAAACAAGAAACTTGCGTGGTGTTAATTGCAGGTTGATAACTAACACGCAGCTAAAACTAATGCCAAGATGGACTTAAAATCAAATTTCTAAGAAAAACTAGATTTAACTGAAAATTTTAATTAAGGAGCAGGGTCAAATAAATTACTTAATTCGACCATTTAAAAATTTTAATGTAAGTACTACATATAACTCATTTAACATTTGTTCCGGTTTTGGCCTACCATATGCTTTACTTCACTGAAAAATATAACATCTTCATGCTTAATTAATGAATGTATATACAAAATAACGTGTTTAATTAAAATGTTATGTACTGTTAAGTGAAAAGTGCATTTAACAACAAATTTTTGTTGTATCCAAATGCAACGCCCACATTTTGTAGTGCTTGTAAGACTTAATCGCGTGACTTTGCGGAAAGTGGAAAATAATTTACAAGATGTGCTCTGTATAATTAATTTAAATTTATGAAAAACTACTGATGCAAGTACATATCAGATGATATCACAATTAGTCAACTGACTGAGCGCAAGCCGAACAAAGGCTTTGAAAATTAAAACTGAAAAATTGCTCAAAGCGAGCATCAAATTCAGGGAAATAAGTAATTAACATAAATTTATTTGTAGGCACTAAAACGACGACAAACAGTGTGGGGAATTGGATTAGAACGGTACTGAATCTTAGATTGGTTTTGCCTTAGATTGATGATGATTCAACGTTGCGTATACGTAATTCCATAAGGCATTGTATAAAGGGAACTTTAAGCACGTGAAAGGAAAGTGCTGTATATAAGCTTATCTTGAAAATAAACAAAATAAGAAACGAACTATGAGCTGCTGATTAAAACTTAAACATATATGAAATGACGTTTTTAAATTATACAATTAGAGCGCTGCATGAATTGTATAAGAGTATTATAACTGAAAATATAACTTAAAAAATATTTATTTAGAGGATTATGAAGTAACTTTGCTGCGTTGATCAATATATATTTTATTAAAATTAATTAATAATTAATTAATTAATTTCATTAAATTAAACTCTAAAACTGTCAATGACATTTAAGACAAATAATTAAGTACGTAAACCAATTTTATGAATGGTTATTTTTATACCCTTGCAGAGCAAAAGGGTATTATAATTTCAGTCAGAAGTTTGCAACGCAGTGAAGGAGACACCTTAGACCCCATAAAGTATATATATTCTTGATCAGCATCACGAGCAGAGTCGGAATACGTCTGTACGTCTGTCCGTCTGTCCGTCTGTCCGTCTGTCCGTCTGTCCGTCTGTCCGTCTGTCCGTCTGTCCGTCTGTCTGTCTGTCTGTCTGTCCGTCTGTCTGTTTCTATGTAAACTAGTCTCTCAGTTTTAAAGCTATCTTGCTGAAACTTTCGCAAAAGGTGTGTAGTTATTGCACGCAGTATATAAGTCGGAACGAGCCGGATCGGCCGACTATATCGGATAGCTCCCATACGAGGGAATGAAATGAAAAATTCTAACGCCGTTGTTTTTGATCAGATAGACTTGAATTCTTCAAGATGGCGTTTTCTAACTGTTATTGAATTTCGGATTAAATTTTATCAAAATCGAATAACACTATCATATAGCTGCCATAGGAGCGATCGAAAATTTATATAGATTTAATGGAAATAAATTGATAACATCGTTGTTTTTTTATCGCACGAGCAAGATTTTTTGAACATCAAGTTTTTTTAATAACCCTTATAATGAGAAAAAGTTTCATAAAAATCGGAGTACTATATCATATAGCTGCCATAGGAAAGATCGAAAAATCTATATAGAAATAACGGAAAAAAATTATAACATCGTTGTATTTCATCAGACAATCATGATTTTTGGAATATAGAGGTTTCTAATGACTCTTGAGTTACAAATTAAATTTCATCAAAATCGGACGACTATATCATATAGCTGTCATATGAACAATATAAAAATAATATAAAAATCGCCATAGATTTGATGTTGCTAGCCTTTATGTATTTTGTTCGACATATTTGATGACTGCAAGGGTATATAAGGGTGATTCCATATCAGATTTACAGTCGATATCGGGAAATTCGATGAGATATTTTTTCATGCTCTTTATCGAAAATAAATCGACACGTATTTTTTATATGGCTCAGAAAATTTTTTTGACAAAGTTATGATTTTTTGAATTTTTGATGAACTGCCCTTTTTTTGATGACAGTCGCGTTTTCCAGCCCCAATAACTCGAAAACCGTACGTCGCAGAAAAAAATGAATAGGAAGTAAAATTTCATCCTTCCTTCTTCTTTGCAAAACTTTCATAAAAAAATTTTTTAAACAATTTTTCACCACAAAAAGTTCAAATGTTTATAACAAATTCATTTTTCTCCAACTTGGACATTTTTGATTTTTTTTTCTTTCACAGTAAATCCTTCAAATTCTTCTGATGAACATACTAAAATTTCAGAATGGTATCAAAATTAGTTTTTGAGTTATAGAATTTTAAAGATTATCATGCACGGTCCGCGCGCTCGGTCTCAGGGCGTGCGCCGACCAACGACTCTAACGAGCGTCAATTCGCTTGCGCGCGCATAGTAAGGGTCAATAAAATGAATTTTTAATGCTATTTAATTCTATAACTCAAAAACTAATTTTGATACCATTCTGAAATTTTAGTATGTTCATCAGAAGAATTTGAAGGATTTACTGTGAAAAAAAAAAAAATCAAAAATGTCCAAGTTGGAGAAAAATGAATTTGTTATAAACATTTGAACTTTTTGTGGTGAAAATTGTTTAAAAAAATTTTTTTATGAAAGTTTTGCAAAGAAGAAGGAAGGATGAAATTTTACTTCCTATTCATTTTTTTCTGCGACGTACGGTTTTCGGGTTATTGGGGCTGGAAAACGCGACTGTCATCAAAAAAGGGCAGTTCATCAAAAATTCAAAAATCATAACTTTGTCAAAAAATTTTCTGAGCCATATAAAAATACGTGTCGATTTATTTTCGATAAAGAGCATGAAAAAATATCTCATCGAATTTCCCGATATCGACTGTAAATCTGATATGGAATCACCCATAAGCTTCGGCTTGCCGAAGCTAGCTTCCTTTCTTGTTATAAATGATAACCTCTTTTCATTCTTACAATGATAAAATACAATCAGTGAGAAATGTAAACACATTGAGTCATTTAATGAATGATATTTAAAAGTGATTATTATGTTATTGTTTGATTGTAAGGTCCCAGAAATTAAATTAAATACAGAACACTCAGCGAGAGTTGCTAGAGATTTCAGAAAATAAAGAAAACAAATGGAAGCGAGGGTACAGCATTTTAAGTTAATAGAATTATGTAGCACAATTGCAATTAGTAAACAACGTCGCACTCAATTTGGCCTTTTTTTCCCGACTCCCCCGCTCCCCCTTCCCCTTGTGGCTCCTTCTGACTTTTGACCCGCACATTTCTCCCGCAGGACATCGGGCCCACACCGTTTACGTGGGTGTCCATGTGCCAGGAGGACGACGCCACTCGCAGCGCCGGCGCAAGCACCACCACAGTGGCCCAGTGGTGGGGGGTGGCACGGGTGGCAGCGGCGGCGGCGGCTCCATCGGCGGTTCCGGAAGTGTGGGCGGTGGTGCGGGCAAGGACAACACCAGCGAGAAGCAACAGGAAGTGGAGCGACCAGGTGCGTCCAGTTGTCTCTCCTGCAGAGAACAGAAGCCTCGGGTTTCCTTCTGCACATCCACACTCGTAATTGCCACATGAGGGCATTCCAAATAAAATGCCAGCAGTAAAAGCGGCCAATCAGTTTCGGCCAGGCCGAGAATTGTGGCAAATTACAGGAACCTTGAGTGGGCGAAATTGTCACAAATTGCTGCCCTCTTCTGAGATATCTCACTCAACAGTAGGATAATAAAATGACAGATGATTGGCTCACAGTTTGCCGTCAACAAGAAGTTTTGATTGTAATAGGGGAAAGCTGACTAATGGGTGACATTGAATTAGGATAATGCAATTATCTTGGGACTGCGTAGGTTTTTCTAAAGATAAAGGAAATAACAAAACTAATACTTGATTTACAATAACTGCTTAACAACACACTTATCATGAGCAATACTTAGCAACCTTTCATAAATGTACATACATTAGCCTAAGTCATTACCTTCATAAAAGCAAATCATCACGTTAATTCCTGTGCTTAGCTCTTTACTGGGCTTAAACCTGTTCTACTGCATTTCATATAATCTTGCACAACCTATCCCAACACCCCCAACAAAGCTTCTTTGCATACATTACCTGACCTATCCATTTGCTTCACTGTAACGCAGTATTATCTCATTTGCCTTTATTTATTATTCGTTTTACTTACGCTTTTAAATTACGCATTTAATCTGAGCCGCAAATCTGAATTTATTCAGGTAAATGACCTTTATTTGTACTTTGCATCTCACACCTCCAAACATTTCCCTTCTTATTTTACGTATTATAATTTATCTTAAAGTTTAATCCCTCTCCGGAAAACACAACACATTTTGTTAGGATTTTATAATTTGTAGAAACTTTAAACCCAAAACAAAAGTAAGCCGAAATAATTGTACGGAATTGTTTTGCATTTCACACACTTTAAAACACTTTGACTATGTAACCTGAACTAAGCATCCTCAGTTGTATGAAACAACAGCCAATGCACGCAATCCTGGCACGAAGCCCAAGCAAACTCAAAAAGGACTAAACAGGACATATGGCGGTCAGTGGTCAGTGGACAATTCCCAACTGAGATCAGGGCCAAATTATTACGCCAATTAACTTTAGCACGCATTCTGAGAGTCCAAGGATACAGATGATTGTTATGAAGAGGGTGGCAATGGTAGCACGATGTTGGCCCTAAGTCATAAATGTTGATTACTCTAATTAGGGTTGCACAGAGGGAAAATGCTTAACATAATTTCGGATTTTTTTATTTGCATATTATTTTGTAGGATTTGTTTATTTGTAGAAGCGAAAGCTTTAAAAACTTGAATTTCTCATAGAAATGTTTTGTGTTCAACAGATTTCTTTTGTTTTTCAAAAAATTTTTTGAAAGTGATTTTAAGTGTGTATCATTCAATCCCTTTAAGGGTTAGGATTCGAGACTTTTTTTTTTTTCTAAGGCCTCCTAATTTCCATTGGCTTTATTTTATATGTTGTCTAATAATTAAAAAATTAATAATTTAGTACCTACTTCTTTAGATGCAGATTTACTATTGTTTAACTTGCAATTATTTTATGCTCCTTGTTTTTAATAATTTAATTTACTATTTTATTAAGTAAATTTCTTTGGAATTTTTATTTTATTATTTATTTATTTATTATATTTATTTATATGCCTGAAATGCACATTTCACAAGTATGGAACACACTTTTCTCATACTGTACCCTTGAAATTATAGTGACTCCCCCGGCCCAGCGCGTCCAGTTCATCCTCGGCGAGGATGTGGACGACGGCACCCACGTATCGCACCCGCTCTTCTCGGAGATGGGGATGCTGGTGAAGGAGGGCGACGAGATCGAGTGGAAGGAGACGGCGCGCTGGATCAAGTTCGAGGAGGACGTGGAGGAGGGGGGCAACCGGTGGTCGAAGCCCCACGTGGCCACCCTCTCGCTCCACTCGCTGTTCGAGCTGCGCCGCCTGCTGGTCAACGGGAGTGTGATGCTCGACATGGAGGCCCACAACCTGGAGGTGATGGCCGACCTGGTCTGCGATCACATGGTCAGTGCAGGCACCCTGCCACCAGGAGTAAAGGACAAGGTGAAGGATGCCCTCCTGCGACGCCATCGCCACCAGCACGAGTACGCCAAGAAGACGCGACTGCCGATCATCCGATCCCTGGCCGATATGCGCAACCACTCGTCGTCGAAAAGTGAGTATTGGGGGAAGGGCATCATCAGCACCACCAGGGGTTTCTCTAAGCTCATCTCGTTCGTTTTGGTGTGAGTCTGTGATCCATACGCGAGTCAAGTGCCATCACCACAGCTCAGCTCAGATCAGCTCATTTAGGATCATTGTGTCAAGTGTCTAACACTCTCATCCGATCCGAACTAACGTAATACTAACAACTCAGACCTGGGCAAGAGCACTCCACTGCACTCACTGCATGGCTCCTCGGCTGGCCTGGATCTGACTGGATCTGGATATGGCCACCAGACACCCCTCTGTGTGTCGAGTAAGGACCAGCGTGGTTGTTATCTCGCTGTTCCCACAGGTATAGCCTTAGAACTAGCCAACTAGTCCCTCACCTGTATCAACTCTCTCTCAAGCAATCTCTGTAAAGCTGAAAGCCAAAAGCCGTCAACATTTTCAGTTGCCTCGCACTCAAAAGCACCCAGAAACAAATAGAAACCAAATTTAACAGCTAATTAAAGACTTAACCATGGAAATCCGATCTCAAAACCTTTAGAAACAACCCTAGATCAGAGAAAGTATGGAACCCCGAATATAACAAATTCAGACCTAAAGAATCTTAATGGGATTCTGTGAACTACCTATACCATTTAACTTTTACCCTAATAGAGATGAACTTTCTAAATAAAATTTCTGCTCCGGAGGAACCCCTTTTTATATTTGAAGATAACAATATGTATCCTAGCAAATTATAATCCTCTAAAACCAAAAAGTTGCAGCTTGCTTCAAGGAAAAGACTTTCTTAAGATGAAAATAACCCTCTAGAGATTAACCCTTGCCACCAATAAGTCGTGATCATTCATTAATCACTCACATCCATAAGCTAAAAAATGTAGGATACACGCTAAATAATCATAAAATAAAATCGTTCACCCAAAAAGCTGACACCTCCGCGCAATTGGGCGCCATTGGGGTCACCACCTGGTTCCATGCCGGGGCATCGCCCCATCATCAGGCCCAGAATCAGAATCAGGCTCAAAATCAAGGACAAACAATGCCAAGTAATAGCCCATCAATGGTTTTCACTGTACTTTGCTGTACTTTTCAAAAGCACGCTGTGTTTTTCGATGATTATCTCTTGACTTCTCTATTTACTCTACTCCTTGAACTTTTTAATCTACTCACTATATAATCAACTATAATCTTCAAAAGCTCGTTAGACCCTTTTTATGATGACTTATTGTGCTGTCTTTCTACGCATTTTAACAAATCTATACAGAGTATAAGGAATTTTAATATTTATATTACCTTCTATATCCCTACCTCCCCTATTCTTCACTAAAACTCCACTCTACTTTTTCGATACTTAAGTGATTGAAAGCCCCATTTCTTAAAGGCCCTTTTTATTTCACTTGTCACTTTTTAATCAACAAACTATAACCCATTAAAATCACAAAAATTCTTCTAAGTTCACAAACTTTATAAAACATTCGACACCGTTGTTATAATAATTCAAATACGCATTTACTAATTTAGTTTATTGGGTCAAAACTTTGATTTCCGAATCAAACAGAATAGGATAATAAATAATCAATAGGTCATAGCAAGTATATATGTTGCTAACCCTAACTATTTGGACCTTTACTAAGTTCCTTTCTAAGAGAAATATACATATATTTAATCTTTACTAAACGGATCCTCTGAGGGAATGAGGAAACAAGAACCAACCCAGCTCGCGATACTTACAAAATAACCTCAGCCTAATGATAACCTGAAAACCCCAACAAACCCAAACATTTTCCAGTTGAAGAGCACTCTGGCAACATTTTGGGGGCCACAACGCCAATTTCCCTAACGGCCAGCGAACCGGGACCGCCCGGATCCAATGGAAACCCCAATCTAAGCACCGCTGCCGGCGGAATGGGCCGTTTTCTAACGGTGCCGAGTGGAAAACCCAGCACAAGAACGCTCGGTAAAGAAAACAACTCCAAGAAACCTTTTTCGAAACCAACTCAAGAAGTGACCGTTTTCATTTATTGTTTGATTTTGCGTGTCTGTTAATTGTTTAAAAAAGATCCTCGATAAATACATTGAATACTCGTTTTGGTAGTTCGCAGTTGTGTAAATAAAATTGGTTGAATAAAAGGAAATTCGAAGGCGACGAAATTTGCATGAAGGTTTAATCCAGCTGAATTGGAAAAGCAGGAAATGGTTTTGTAGAGACAAATTAGAAAAGAAAAGAAAACAATCCTCACATATCTGCACGCTTATCATCTAACACAAACTTCAGAACTAACAACTTTCCAATATCTTTTGCATGCTTCATTATCCGTATCTGAACTCAATTTGAAATCTCTTCCAGCACTCTTAGCCGAACCCGAATTTAATCAAATGTTTCTTTTTCGCACTTCTTTTTCGTATGTTTTTTATGTTGTTCCGTTGTAACGTGTTGACCTACATGTTGTTGTTGTTATTATTATTGTAATACCTCTCAACGCACGTAATCCAAAACAAAATAAATATCAAAATATGTAAACACGACACCAAAATACCTGCCTGCATCCCGTGAACCCGAACCGAAAAACACGACTAATGCAGAGAAAAAATCTAATTCTAAACACTCGCGGCCCGCACAAAACCTGCCCCCGATCACAGAGGACATGGTCAAGAGTCCCAGCAACCAGTCGATGGCCCGGCCGGGAAGCGGCACCGAGCTGAGCGAGCAGCAGCACAAGGGCAACACCCACTTCATGCGGAAGATCCCCCCGGGGGCGGAGGCCAGCAACATCCTCGTCGGCGAGGTGGACTTCCTGGAGCGCACCCTCTCCTGCTTCATCCGCCTCAGCCAGGCGGTCGTCCTCGGCGACCTCACCGAGGTCCCAGTGCCCACAAGGTAGGTTCACCCAAAAACAATTCTATTTTTCTTTCAAAGGTTTTTGAAATCTTACAAACAGAAGTGGGGAATATGGAAGCATATCATCCAATAATAGGCATTTAAAACTAGCTTTTCCATCCTCACTTTTTCTTAAAGAAAATTATTGTTTTAATTTAAATAACTTTTTATTATTCAAATAAAAAATATTATAAAGTTGTTTGTCCAAACGTTAATGTGAATAAAAAGCATATTTATTGTGGACTTGATTCTAATTATAAAATGTGTGAATTTGATGGCTTGAATAAATTAATAAAGCTGGTTTTCAGCAATGTCTTATATTTAATCCTTCGTTAATATAATATAACCTATAAAAGATCAAAAAGATTTAGTCAAATTACTTTAACAATAAATTTGGTATTTTATTGCTAGCAGCGAAGGCTTTTTACTACGAGCTTGTAGACCGAAAAATAATATACAAAAATTGTATTTTTAAAAATTGTAGTAATTACTTAACCTATAAACTAATAAAATGTGTTATTCATTACTGACAGCAAAGAATGTTTGTGAAAATAATTGACTTCCACGAAATGTATTTTGTGGTGAACTGTAAATGATATGTCAATAGAAGCGTTGTGTTTTTATCAATTTAGGGCCCATAATAAATTTGTATTTTTTTTAATTTCCGAGAAAAAGATTAAGCAGTATCGAATGATTTTATGATATGTAATTTGGTAGACAATAATTATTAAGAATTATCTGCAGGCTGATAAACTAAGCATTGTTTTTTCAATAGCTCATAAAAAAGTTTAATTTCGGAGAAAAAGTTTGATAAGTTTTTAATGTTTCTAGAATAGGTATATCTCTTTAAAAGATGGGTTATAAATAAATTACAAAGTGTATACAACTTGTTTAATATAATTAATACTCTCCAATTTTACCATTCAAAGCTTATTATTTATAACCGATAACTAATTATAATTGTGTTTTCCCCGGACAGATTTGTGTTTATCCTGCTTGGTCCGCCCGGAAGCCAGAGCAACTTCCACGAGATCGGGCGGGCGATGGCCACCCTGATGTCCGACGAGATCTTCCACGAGGTGGCCTACCGAGCTCGCAAGCGGGATCACCTGCTGTCCGGCGTGGACGAGTTCCTCGACGCGGTCACCGTTCTGCCTCCCGGCGAGTGGGATCCCACCATTCGGATTGAGCCGCCGGCGGCGATTCCCTCGCAGGAGGTGCGCAAACGTCCACCGGAGTTGCCCAAGGAGGAGGTGGACGAGGAGGAGGAGGAGGCGCGTCTGCGGGAGGAGAACGGATTGTCGCGGACGGGTCGCCTGTTCGGAGGACTCATCAACGACATCAAGAGGAAGGCACCGTGGTACCTCAGCGACTACAAGGACTCGCTGTCGATGCAGTGCGTCGCCTCCTGGATCTTCCTGTACTTCGCCTGCCTCTCGCCGATCATCACATTCGGAGGACTCCTGGCCGAGGCCACCGGCAAGCACATGGCTGCGATGGAGTCTCTGGTGTCCGGGTTCGTTTGTGGCATGGGGTATGGCTTCTTTTCGGGTCAGCCGCTGACAATTCTCGGGTCCACCGGTCCAGTCCTGGTCTTCGAGTCAATTATCTACGAGTTCTGTCTGAAGATGAACTGGGATTACATGACCTTCCGGTTCTGGATCGGCATGTGGGTCGCCGGCATTTGCATCGTCCTGACCGCGATCGACGCCAGTGCCCTCGTCTGCTACATCACCCGGTTCACCGAGGAGAACTTCGCCACCCTGATCGCCTTCATCTTCATCTACAAGGCCATCGAGAACGTGGTGGTCATCGGCAAGAACTTCCCGGTCAATCAGGGGATATACGACTGCGTCTGTACGCCGCCACTGGGAAGCAACGCCAGTGTGATCGACTATGCCAAGTACAACTGGGATTCCTGTGAGGTAAGGTGTCTTAAAAAAACCTAAAAGAATTTTAACTTATAGGAATTACATTTGATCATTGCATCAAAGAATATTTTTGATGCAATGATCTTTTCGTAATGATTTGCTAAAAGGAAAAGTTAAGGAGAGATAAAATATGAAAATAATCATTAAAATAATTAAGCATTCCGATACTATTCTCTGATTACCAAAAGTTTACTCCATAATATTATTTATTTATTTATGTAGTAATGTCTTGTTTTATTAAAATTTATACGAGGTTGTGATATGTGTGAAAGTGTTCACACTTTTCTTGTTAATTTTATTAATAAAATAATATTGTTTTTAGAGTTACAATGGCACATTGGTTGGAGGCGATTGCGGCACCCCGCCCACCGAGAACGTTTTCCTAATGTCGGTGTGTCTCTGCGCCGGCACCTTCCTCATTTCCACCGTGCTGAAGGAGTTCAAGAACGCGCTCTTCTTCCCCTCGATCGTTCGCCAGTACATCAGCGACTTCTCCGTGCTGATTGCCATTTTCGCGATGACTTTCTTCGATTATTCCCTGGGAGTGCCCACCCAGAAGCTGGAGGTTCCCAACGAGCTGAAGCCGACGCTGAGCACCAGGGGCTGGCTCATCCCGCCGTTCTCCGAGAGGAATCCCTGGTGGTCGCCGATCATTGCCGTGTTCCCCGCCCTCCTGGGCACCATCTTGATCTTCATGGACCAGCAGATCACCGCAGTTATTGTGAACCGCAAGGAGAACAAGCTGAAGAAGGGATGCGGCTACCATCTGGATCTGTTCATCCTCTCCATTCTGATTGCTATTTGCAGCTTGATGGGACTGCCTTGGTGAGTTTCGACCAAAGAAATCATATTAGTTATAGATATAATTTATCCAGACTTGCATTAATACTTGCATGGGTATACTCTATAATATGATATTAATACACATTATAGAATGAAGTTCAAATCAGGAATCGGTTTTTAAATGTATGGATTGATTTTATATATATGATATGATATGATTTAACTTGTTTTGGTTTCGGTAAACATATAGCCAAAACCTGAAAGAACTCATTGAAATGGGAATCCAGAAATAGAAATATTAAAATATGTTTTTCTTGTAAATGCAAAGGCAAAAATAATTGTTAGTAAATTCAAGATTTTTGCTATTTTATCTCATGAATCTCATCTTATCTTAATTATCCCAATTAAATATGTGTATATTATGTCCACATTTTTATTAAATTTTTAATATTTATTTAATATTAATATTATTTGTTATTGATATTATATTTTATTTATTAATATTTATGAATTCCACAGGTTCGTGGCTGCCACCGTGCTGAGCATCAACCACGTGAACTCGCTGAAGCTGGAATCGGAGTGCTCGGCCCCTGGCGAGAAGCCACAGTTCCTGGGAGTGCGCGAGCAGCGGGTGACCCACATCCTCATCTTCCTGACCATCGGCGTGTCCGTGCTGCTGACCCCGCTGCTCGGTCACATCCCCATGCCGGTCCTGTTCGGCGTCTTTCTCTATATGGGCGTGGCCTCGCTTAAGGGTCTCCAGTTCTTCGATCGCATACTGATCATGTTCATGCCGGCCAAGTACCAACCGGACTATATGTTCCTGCGCCAGGTAAGATATACCAATGGTTTCTCATAAGATTTTCCAGGTTATTGTAAATAAGTATCTATTTTGGTATTAATTTGCGTAATTTTATTGAGACTGGTGAATAATTTCAAAGGGGAACTTTTTTAAAACCACTTTTCTCTACCATTTTATTACCTGACTTTAAAACCCAAAATATTTTACTATAATAGGCTTATATGTCTTAACATTTTGGCAATATATGTTATAAATTAAAAATACAATAACTATTAATATTCATGGATTTTTTCCAATCCTGCATCTAAGTAATGTGTCATTTTGATTGTATTTTTTTAGAATTTTAAGAAATATTTGTATTTTGTAATTTATTCTCATTTTTCTTGTTTAACTAAACGCCTCAACCAGGATCCATCATATTCATATATTTCTTCTTCTTCCATCTCGTCTTGTTTTTTCTTGGCATTAAGATCCTTTATCAATTGATCGACCAGAAACTCAACTGGGGAGCTACCATCAAACTTAGGTGGTTCCTTAATAGTTTCTATTGATTCGATGCTTTTAACTGACTTTTCCCCTTCCTCCATTGATACTGAACTTGGCTCCAACTCCACAATCGTTGTATCTGGATCTTGGTCTTGATTGTTTATCTCTGGTAGGACACCTTTTACATGAAGAGGCCCTTCTGTTGAATCTTGAGAAGAATTCTCAGTTGTACTTTCATCTTTAACCAAATTATCCGGATTTGTTGTTCCTTGTTGAACTTCGTTTTCGTGTTCCACTGTAGCATTTAAATTCTTGAGTATTTCAGGAACATCTAATTCTTGTAGGAACTTTTCAATATCAAAAGGTTTTGGCTCTTCGCTAACATTCTCTTCAGGTCTTTCAGTACTTATAGGGTTTGCTTTGAAAGCTGCGATTATCGCCAAGTCGTTATAGATATCCTTTATTCGGGAACCGATTGATGAGTTTATGTTTGGATTCCGTGGAATTTCGGCGTTCAAGTGTGACTGAGTAATTTTCGTCTGATCCAACAAATTCCTCTCGGTGGTCTCATCATTAAAAGTAGAAGAGTCTTTTATTGGAACTATTACTTTCTTTGAGCACTCCCATTGAGTCAGTCGATTTTCAAAGCTCGTCAATCTCTGGTGCAAAGTGTCTTCAATGGCTTTAAGTCGACTTTCCAGAACCTCAGTGAATTGACTGCATCCAGGAACCGCTTCTTCCTGAAAAAATAAATAAATCTCAGCCTTGCACTTTAAGGAGAAACGTGTAGACTTACGGCCAAACTGGCGATAGCAGTTCCAAGTAAGGCAATCGCAAATACTAGACTTAAATGGACCTTTCGCATTTTTTCCGTAATGAACTTGTCAGAAGCACAATTGAAACAAGACTGAACTGTTTTCAAATGACGATATTTCTTTAAGTCTAGTGTGCAGTTAGTCATATTTTAATCTTTTAAACAGCGGATGTATCACTATCATGCTGCTTTTAAGGTACAACAACATACAAGCAAACCATAAAGTATAAATATTCTTAACCAGAGAAGATATAAAAATACATGTACATATGTACGGTTCAGTCTGTTACTCAGTTCGACCGGCAATGACGTAACAGCTATAAAATAAAAATCAGAAAAATTAGCAAACCAAAATTTTATGCATGTACCGAAAAAAATAAAATTTTTGGGAAAACCATATAATGCATTTAACGCATATATACAATTATTTAATTTTTAATTTAAAATTTACCAATAATATTAAACTCTTGAAAATAAAATTGTGGCGATATAAATAAATAGCCATTTTAATTGAATAAAAACAATTATAATTCTGTGGAATTTAAAAGAGAGTGATATAATTATACAAAAATGTGCCTAAAAAAACACAGAATTCATCTTATCTACAAAAATACATTGAAGAATAATATTTTAAAGTTTATAATTAAGAAACAATTAATATTAATCTGCTTCTAATTATTCCGTTTGATTTACTTTACAGGTTCCCATTAAGCGCGTTCACCTGTTCACCGCAATTCAGCTGGCGTGTCTCATTATCCTTTGGCTGATCAAGTCCTTCTCACAGACCTCTATCCTGTTCCCCTTGATGTTGGTGGTGATGATCGGCATACGAAAGGCCCTGGATCTTGTATTTACCCGACGGGAGCTGAAGATCCTGGATGATATAATGCCGGAGATGACGAAGCGAGCGGCGGCCGATGATCTGCATAAACTGGACGCTGAGGTGGGCTTATTGGCGCGAATTTTCCCTTGGGGAAAGGGTAGTCGGGGCAGGGTGGTTGGCAAGTCGCCGGGCCTCGATGGTAACCTCGCTGGGTCTGGTGGTGAGGGCCCCGGCCTCATCAGTTGCACCACCTCAAATGCAAATGAGAAGGAGTTCGAGGCACAGAGCAGTCTGCTCAAGAAGTAGAGCACATAGAACACACTCTCTTGCACACACACACTTAGACAAACAAGCACACGCCCATGCCACGCCCACGCCCAAGCCAAAAAACAAAAAAACCCTATGGACAAGTGCTACCCATTTCATTTGCGTTTGCAGTGCTGCCCAGTCTACCGCACAAAAAACCAACGATTAGCGATTGGCGCTTCGATGGTTCCGATACCGATAAATTCAATTATTTATAGAATTTTTCGATTAATTTGCATTTTGTCGGTCTTGATACATCTTATCCAACCTACTATAGTTATATATATCCATGTATATGCATTATTCTCTGTTATATACGTTTTTATCATGTCTTTAACAGTATTTTGTAAATGTTTTTCCCCAACCCCATTTTAATTTTAAACTATGGCATGTAGCAATTTTGCATTTTGTTTTTATATATACGATAGTTTTTGATAAATATGATTTCCTAACCTCTTCTGATCCTGTGCTAAAAAACGCTTTTAAACCACCTGTAAATGCCAAACCCACAAAAAAAGAAACAATGTGGTTTTTTGTAGTGCAAAAATGTGTTATCTATCCGAACCTACTCTAAAACTACTCTTACCCTATATATATATATACAAATATGATATTTATAAATGTAAATGAAATTCTAGCTTAAGTCATAATTAATCAAGCGTTTACACTGTACAACAAGTACCTAAATGTATTAAATCGAACATGTTATGTTATTTTATAGTCATCGGGTCGCGAGTTCCAGTAACTAACCAGAGACACAAGCACACACTTAATGTAGCGAAAATTGATGTAAAATATGTCATGGGCAAAATCCAAAATTGCAACACAAAAACCAAACTAAACAAATAAAAATAAAACAAAAGATTGGCATAAAATTGAACACACTTCACCGAATTGGCTTTTACACACAAGATCACCGATTTAGACCCTCACCCTTTTATTTAGCGAACCTTTCTTCTTCTTCGCCTTTCACTATTGCAACACTAGATCAGATATGCTATACCCTTTTCTACTCTTTCCTTGCTTCCTCCTCCCGAGAGATGTTTTTTGGTCCCAAAACTATGCCAATTTTATATTGAAGGACAACCATCATCAGCATCACCCGGGATCGGGGTCCGGACCCAACTATAATGCCGATAAGTCGGGGGGTCCGACCACCATTCACATTCCGCTATCGGGCAACAAGCCGGCCAACAATGGACCCACAGTGAACATTCCCCAGGAGGCTGTTAATCGCACCACAGTCTGGCAGCAGATCAACAAGGATGGCAACGGGATCTCGGAGCAACTGATCATCCCGGTCACCGTCAAAGTTCGTCAAATCAACGGCAACCAGTAAGTGTTCTCAATGGAATGTCCCGATGGGTCGGGTTCTGAGTCAGGGTTCAGATAAGATCACTCGCTTTCCCCTTATGAGCTGCTAGAACTTTTGCTCTCTCTTTTGTATATAAATCTATCTTTTCCTACACCCAAAATCAGATCGTATAAGCTCCCTTAGAACAGGAGATACAAGAAAAAGAAGATGATACTATTATGAATAGATTATTAAATGACAAGTAATATATCCTTGCAGGGTTTTGCTTTCTTTTATTTAATGTGCGTTCTAAAACATTTTTTCGCTTATGAAAAATATTTAATATTTAAAAATTATTTTAGATTTTTTTTCTTATTTAAAAATATATATATTGCCTGAGTCTTTTATGTATATTTTCATTTTTATAATTTATAATTTTATTTTTTTTTGGTCTTCTTCATAGGACCCTTAAAAAAGTGTATATATCTTTATCAAAATTCAGAAAATTTTAGTCATTAAATGCCTATGAAGCTATGATTCAGAAGTGTCGAAAGTACAAAAAATAATAGGCTTTCTCCTGATATCATCGACTACTAAATCATTCATGCTCGTCTTCGCATTCCCCTGTGCCTCCCCTTTCTGCAGTGCCCCCTCGAGTGCCGCCCTCTCGCCACGCCTCTCGCCCATGCACGAGGCGGATGAGTACAGTGAAGCCCCGCCAAACACACCGGGCAATCCCACGGGAGCTCAGCAGCAGCAGCAGCAGCAACAGCAGCAGATGAATAATTGCAAGGAGGCGGCTGCCAAACTCGAAGGATCTTCTTTGGTCAACAGCCAGATCAATCCAGCCAACATAACGCCCGTCTAAAGATCCCGAAAAAGATATGGATACAATGCGAACAAAAGCACAAAGAACCCGCACACACACACACACACACACACACATCCATGTATTTCTAGTTGATCATTCACAACCGTATCATAATCTCTATTTACTATATGGTATATATCGTAGTAGTTATCCCAGGTGACGTTTTTGGTAACGATTTTTTAGCTGTGCCAGTAGAGGGGTGTAACTTTGATTTGGGGCTCAGGTACAAGTTATACAAGTATTACTTATAAAATAAAATATATAACGGTATTCTGTAGACGAGAAAAAACATTCCAAATATACACTTTTGAAACGAATTTTATAGAGTCAATTCCGAGAATGCGAGCGCATAAATATTAACCATCGGTGATCCGATGTTTGTCCAATTTTCCTATTTCCCCTTTGACTTGGTTAGCTAAAGCGAATTGTGTGTTATATGGGGCTTATTTATCGAACTGTGATCTGATGGGTATATCTTGGGGGTGGGTTGTTTAAGAAGTGTATCATTTAGCCTAGCCAAGACAAAGCTGTAAACAATTGTATTATATTTTATGCCTTACACTAACTTTAACACACAGAGACACACGCATCCTATCCGACACACCCGAAAAAAAATATATATAAACTATAGACAACTATTAATATTGAATAAAAGTGGCGAACAATTAATTAGCCACAAGCAACTGCGGAAACAAAAATGTATCTTTCATTTCGTTACTTTTGGTATGCATCGTTCGTTTTCAGTGTATTTTGTGCATAGTTGTGAGTGTTGAGTGTGGCACCTACTGCTCCCGAAATCTATATCTCTGATCATTCATATATAGCACCTCAGCAACTTCTGCCTGTCTTCCATAATATCAGACATTCATAGACATTAGATCAAGTTTGTGGAGTATCAGCGTTGGATATTCTGAAAAAAATGCATTAAAAAGCTGCAAAAAAAATGTATATTACTTAGAAGGCATAAAAAAAACAAAACCTTTTGTAAATATTTTCAATCATTTTCAAACTCTGTTTCGAAGAATCAAACCATCAAGCTTCATTAGCATCGTGTTTGATGTCTGTATGCGCATTTTCTACTCTATCACTTGGTTTTCTATGTACTTAGTAAAAAAAAACTAGGTTATTCCTGATAATGCTCACCCTAGATATCGGATATTAATCTCTATTTTCACTATTGCAGAACTCAAAATTTAATACGTCGAAGCAATTGTGGCGTGGATATCTCACACCAACAGAAACATCCGTTTGAGTCAATGATTTAACTCCATTTTAGCGTATATCTGTGTACCTGTATAACAGTTTTGTGTGTCTATAATCTGTCTATATAATTATAATGTGTATGTACCACCTACCGTCCCTTTTGCGTGCGATTTGTGGCACAAATTAATTGTCTGGCAACATATCAAGCGACAACCGAAAACCAATCTTATACAATCCACTCTAAAGGAATTTGTTGAAATAAATGTATAAAATAAAGTTTATTTATTTTGAATTGAAAATCTTACTCATTGATGGTACGCGAATAAAAGGGAAACATGTAAGTATGTAATTACAAGAAAAATGATCGGAATTCAAATTCAATAGATTTAAATTTCCGTTTTATTTTCAGGGGTAAATATTTTGACATATTTTAATTTTGGGTAAGCACACAAATGTAGAGCAATTACTATGCTGATATGTATGTAAAAAAAATTATTTTTTATTGATTTCCACATTTTTAAAAATTATTGGGCTTAACAATCATTTTGGATGTTAAATAAAATTAATGCGGAAATTTTTTTTATCTAGCAATATGATGAATTTCGGACCACTATAACTACTAAAACCATAAATAAGTTAATAAGTTTATTGTTTTATTATCACATCATTTCTGGAGATAAATATTATATTTAGCCGTGTGTTCTTTTCTGGTCAAATTTATTTGACTAAAATGTGGATACTATTTGTAACGGCAATCATCATATTGATCCTACTATCGTCTAAGAGCGATATCATCGCTTTAATAATTTGGTCACCCACAGTCACACTGATTTGGTTGGAAAGTGTTGCCAGATAAGTGGTTTTGGTTTTCGAAAGTTCTACTTTTAAATATTCGTATTAAAATCACCAAAAAACGTATAAAATATATTGAACAACAACAATTTAAATCAACTGCGCAAGCTGCAAATATAAATAAAATTTTGAGGTTGGTTAGTGCGATAACAATTAACGAGGTTTTGAATTTAGCGGGAACACTTAGTGGGGGTGTTCAGGGTTGGTCAAAAGTATTGGGTGAGACCCATTTTACGATCTGGCAACACTGTGGTGGGGTTTCCTCGAGCGAGCGCGTGTTATTTTTTTAAATCCGCAATTATTAATTAAAACCTGGCCGGGATGTCGCTAATTTCACGTCTACTGATCGGGAACAACCCGCTGCGCCTGCGGGCACTGGAGTCTTTGGGTAGGGTGAGTTCGGAGCAGAGAAATAACCGAAAACCGATCGGCTCGTTATGTAATTGTTGTAAAGAATGTAGTTTAATAATATTATAACTTTGCAGGCCGGCTATAGTTCGCATGCCAAGTTCTCGGAGCACAAGCCCATCGAGAAGATCCGGAACATCGGCATATCGGCGCACATAGACAGTGGAAAGACGACTCTGACGGAGAGAATCCTCTTTTACACCGGCAGGATTGCGGAAATGCACGAGGTTCGCGGAAAGGATAACGTAGGTGCCACCATGGACAGCATGGAACTGGAGCGGCAGAGGGGGATCACCATCCAATCAGCTGCCACATACACCCTGTGGAAGGAGACCAACATCAACATCATCGACACGCCGGGTCACGTGGACTTCACCGTGGAGGTGGAGCGTGCTCTTCGCGTTTTGGACGGCGCCGTTCTGGTTCTTTGTGCAGTGGGCGGTGTTCAGAGCCAAACGCTTACGGTCAACCGGCAGATGAAGCGCTACAATGTCCCCTGCCTGGCCTTCATCAACAAACTGGATCGCTTGGGCTCGAATCCCTACAGAGTTTTGTCCCAGATGCGGTCCAAAATGAACCACAATGCTGCCTTCATTCAACTACCCATCGGTGTGGAAAGCAACTGCAAGGGCATTGTGGATTTGGTGCGGGAAAGAGCTATCTACTTCGAGGGCGAACACGGAATCGATCTGAGGCTGGACGAAATCCCGCAGGACATGCGAGTGGAAAGCCAAGAAAGGAGGCAGGAGCTCATCGAACACCTCTCGAATGCGGACGACACCTTTGGTGAACTTTTCCTGGAGGAGAAACCCTTCACGGAGGACGATATCAAGGCTGCTTTGAGAAGAACCTGCATCAAGCGAACCTTTACGCCCGTTTTGGTGGGAACTGCACTAAAAAACAAGGGTGTTCAGCCACTGTTAGATGCGGTTATTGAATACCTGCCCAACCCCGGGGAAGTGGAGAACTTGGCCTACATAGAGAAGGAAGGACAGGAACCGGAGAAAATTGTGTTGAATCCCGCACGCGATGGAAAGGATCCCTTTGTGGGCCTGGCCTTCAAACTGGAAGCCGGCCGCTTTGGCCAACTTACCTACCTCAGATGCTACCAAGGAGTGCTCCGCAAGGGTGACAACATCTTCAATGCCCGCACCAACAAGAAGGTGAGGATTGCTCGCCTGGTTCGCCTGCACTCGAATCAAATGGAGGATGTCAACGAGGTCTACGCCGGCGATATATTCGCCCTGTTCGGAGTTGATTGCGCCTCCGGAGACACTTTCACCACCAATCCCAAGGACAACCTGGCCATGGAGTCAATTTTCGTGCCGGAACCCGTTGTCTCAATGGCCATTAAACCGACCAACACCAAGGACCGAGATAACTTCTCGAAGGCCATTGCCAGATTCACCAAGGAGGATCCCACATTCCACTTCTTTTTCGACAACGATGTGAAGGAAACTCTCGTTTCGGGAATGGGTGAACTTCATCTGGAGATCTACGCCCAGCGAATGGAGAGGGAATATGGCTGCCCGGTGACGCTGGGAAAGCCTAAAGTAGCATTTAGGGAAACTCTGGTTGGACCCTGTGAATTCGATTACCTGCACAAGAAACAGTCGGGAGGATCGGGACAGTATGCCAGGATTATCGGTGTTATGGAACCGCTGCCGCCCAACCAAAATACCCTGCTGGAATTCGTTGACGAAACAGTGGGCACTAATGTACCAAAGCAATTTGTTCCTGGAGTGGAAAAGGGTAAGGAAATTAGTAACTTTAAAAATTACTAATATTTAATGGTATTCTTTTATGTTTAGGTTATAGAGAAATGGCTGAGAAGGGCATGCTCTCTGGCCACAAGTTGTCCGGCATAAAATTCCGCCTGCAAGACGGTGGACATCACATAGTGGACTCCAGTGAGCTGGCCTTTATGTTGGCTGCCCATGGTGCCATAAAAGAAGTCTTCCAGAACGGCAGCTGGCAAATCCTGGAGCCCATTATGCTGGTTGAGGTAACGGCGCCCGAGGAATTCCAGGGTGCTGTAATGGGACACCTGAGCAAACGTCATGGCATCATCACCGGAACTGAGGGAACCGAGGGGTGGTTCACCGTCTATGCGGAGGTTCCCCTGAACGACATGTTCGGCTATGCGGGAGAACTGAGGTAAGCTAAATATTTACTAAAACCTTTGGATGTATAACCAAGTCGTATTCTTGTTTTAGATCGAGTACCCAAGGCAAGGGCGAGTTCACAATGGAGTACTCACGGTACTCGCCCTGCCTTCCCGATGTCCAGGATCAGATTGTGCGCCAGTACCAGGAGTCCCAAGGATTGGCTCAGCCCGACAAGAAGAAAAAGAAGAACTAAATTATATTTTCTCCCTAGTACTAACTTTCATCTCTATCAAATCGAAATGTTATTGTGTGTCATTCTACTTTTGCTTAGTTAAATTTTATTTCATACAAAAATCTTCAGTTTCCACTGTGATAATTGCGACATGTACAGATTACTTGTATATTTAACAAAGACAGAAAAAAGTAAAAAAAAAATTATGCTCTTTGTTTTCAAATTGTATTTTATACATATTAATTGAATAAATATATAGAATTGTATTTTATAAATATTTTACATGAATTCTCTTATTTTAATAACCAACATTATGGTTTTCCCTGGGCTTTGAGTTGATAACATAAAATCGGTTTTATATAATACAATTTTCAATCTTTTGTCGTTAAAAAGTTGACATTGTTTTGATTTAAAAAGAATTTCTAAAATATGGGGAAGAAAGAAATAAAATTTAAGAAAACCAAGCACTTAACATTTTCTGTTAGGAAACTTAACATTTTGTTAATTTGCAATGTGGTTTTATTTCCCGCGCTCGCTTTTGAATTTAAAGTGACCAAAGCAATTGCATCATAAAATAACTAGAAAAATATCGTATTTTCGATGTTTAGACAAAAGTAATATCTTGATACATATCGATATATTGATATTTTGATATATTATCAACAACCCTATTTGTTTTGTTGTTGTTGTCGCGTTTCTTTGCTTGCGTGCGGTTGATCCGCGGATAGTTTACCCTGCAAACTCGCAGAAAATGCAAACTTAGGCGAGATATAGGAAAACTGACCACCGACAGGTGCCGAAAGTGCGAACCGAGCGAAGGAAAAGCCATTGAACGACAAAAAATTAACAAGCGAGGAAAACAGCGTAGAATTTCCCGAAACAATAACAACAACAACGGCTGCAACCACAAAAAAAATTTAACTCAATTAAAAGAAACGGAGGAAAATGCAATTGAATTGCCGAGAAAATGTGTGAAGTGTGCTGATGTGTTTGCGTGGAAATGGAGCGAATTGTGATTTTGTCTAGTGTTTTCCGCTGCCAGAAAAGTGTGCGCAGGAAAATCGCTGACAATTCGTGAGGGGAAAGAGAAAATTCGGGGAAAATTCAATACAAAAACGCGGAAAACAAAAACAGAAACGAAAATCGGAAGAGAGAGAGAAAAGAAAATAAATATCTTTTATACCTGTGTGGGTGTGTGTGCGTCAGTGTGTGCGTGTGCAAAAGAAGAAGATCAAAGCGAAACGACAAAAACAACGGCAACAAAAACTACACACAGCTGACTTCCTCTTCTCTCACCTTCCTGCATACACTGTCCGAAAAAGCATATTTATTACTACTGATAATGCAAAAACACCAACGACTACTTCCAAACGCCGGCTTTTAAACTAGTCATCATAAAGATACAACAGCTAATTAAACATATCCCAAAACCGACAAAAAATAATTAAAATTCCAGTCAACAAAGTAATCTAGTAAAATTAAATTCTTAGTAAGAAAAAACAAAACACATCGCAATGGATTGGATCATCAACGACGAGATGGGCCTTACGGTGGGTCATGTTGTGGGCTGGGCCGCCGCCTCAGCGATGGTCATTGGGGGCGTAATCCCCTACGTTCCCCAATACATTGAGATCAAGAAGACGCAGGACGCGGAGGGGTTCTCACTGTACGTCTGCCTCGCCCTGCTGGTCGCCAACTCGCTGAGAATACTCTTCTGGTAAGTCCACAATCAAAATAGAATATACTCGTACCCCTTATATTATATTTCGCAAAAATATTATTTCACTCTTATAATATTCTCAGAATGTTTATGATCAGCCTTCCTAGACTACTGCAAAATTACTGAGTAGGCTAATCTGTTTTTCACCAAAATATATCTGTAATGTCCATTAAAAATCTTTTAATGTTCTAGAGGAAAAATTACAAAAGGAGAATCATGGGCACAATTACCTTGTTTTCGTGCATGTAAATGAGCACATGGGGCAGAAATAATACAGTTTATGAGCAATAAATCAGTAATGAAAAAAAAGACGAATTTATATTTTTCTACTGTTTGTTTTTCTTTCAATGTACAGCATTCAAAAAAAAAAAAAAAATCCTAATTGCTTTATGAAAAGAAGATAAACACCTGCAGTATTTCTTTATATGTTTTTTAAATATCAAAGAAAATGCGAATAAATATTGTCAATACATATTTAACTGTCTCAAAGACCTAAAAACAAATTTTGTTTTTTAAGATTAACAGTTCCAAGAATAATTTTTAAGTATTAGCAGACTCTCTCTAAGTAAATGCCTTCCCGTTTTTATCTCGCCCACAATGGGATGACTAAACCCACTCTGTAAACACCTCGTATCTTGGCTTATCTGGGGTAATTCAAGCCGCTTATCGCTGAAATTCTCTCGTGGTCGTCGCGACATTTTACGGTTTCCACCTCTTGAGACCCCCTATCTGGGTATAGCTTTGTCATGATTTCTCGTCGATTTCGCAGACCATAGAATTCCACAAATTGTCCAAGGACTATTGAACGGGTTTTATGTTTATTGTGTTGGCTGCGATATGGTATTTGACACAATGCCACGGGTAATTGCTATTTTGGCTTGTTTTTGTGATAATTATTGGTAGGTTTGGCTGCCCTCACGATGATTTTGGGAAAACGATTCCGGGTAAACTAAAGTTCAGTGGGATGATTGATAAGAACTCAAACCGCATTATGATGGCTATTTAATTATTGATGAAGCAAATGTAAAGTATAAACAGATTTCATAAATCTATATTCACATATTATTTACTAATATAAGTTATTAGGTGTTTTTCAATTTTGAGAGTTCTTTTAATCACTTCAACAGTCATTGTGCAAACCTCCCCTTCAAAGTTGATTCATCAATTAAAAGAGAAAGAGATATAAATCAAAACAACAAAATAAATTTTTAATTCAATTTGAGTGAATGGGCTAAATAGCTTTTAAAATGTCACAATGCCACTTCAACCCGAGGAAACTACTTCAGCAAACAATGGAATAGAATTTTGATCGAAAAACAAACGATATTGTTTATTCGGAACATACTCTGAAATATATCTACTTATTGTTCCAATGGAACTAGACTTTTTTTGAGGCTAGCCACTCCATTTTACCTTTAAAACCAGGGTCAACTACTTTTGCCCATCTGGTTTCCGAACGATTTAATTTTTTATTTGTTTACCCCGTTTAAAGTCGCCTCTGTTATGAGTTTTTAAGACCCAATGCTTCCGATAAATAAATTATTAACAAGGCGAGGGAAACGTGAACAAAAAATGTGGCAGCAACTGGTGGCCCTCGTCTATAGCGACGTCGTCAATTTGTCTGGCCTGGGTAGCAATCAATAAATTAATTATTTAGCTAGAAACTGTTGCCGGCGAGCAAAGTGAATCAGCTGTGCAACGTGGCTTTGGGCCCAATAATCCAGATACAATATACTTTAAATATAGATGTTTACGAGTGTGTGGAAAATTCTTTGTGGGGAGGCGTTTTTCTTGACACGCGATGAGTTTCAATGGCTTTTGACGAATGCAAACTGGCTGTGGGGTTAAGTAATGCATTAGGAAACTATTTTAAAAATAAAAACAATGAAGGGAAGTAGATTTCATTTTTCATTGCGTTTTGTGTTTCCTAGCGGAGATAATTGTTATTATTCTGACTAATCGCCGCGATATAGATAAACCTCCAGACACCCACTTGCATATACTTTTTCCGCAGTTAACTGCAACTGGCAATTTGTGCAAAACAAAATGCACGAAACACTTAAACTATTTTTAGTTTTATTTCTGTACGTTCACAGAAATTGCTGGCAATTACAATTAATTATTTGATGTGTTGGGAATATAAATTACCCACAAAAATATTTACGAGTTCTCCCAGTGGAAAACTTAGCCAACAAAGAGAAACTGGATAGTGGAACAAAGCGAATGACACATCCGAAGTCTTTATTATAAATAATTGACATCGTTGCGGCCTTTGTTGTGCATCGTAAATATATGCATATTTAACAAAGAATTAATCACGAAACACACAGAGTGATATGCGAGTTGTAAATAAAAACCAAAGTACCTATCGAATAAATAAGAAAATTTTAATATTGCTTAAGGCTTTTTGAATGAGCTCATTGGCTTAAATCACCTTTTGTTGATCATTCTGACAGCTGGGAAATCAAGATAGCTATTGTATGTTATGTATTACAAATATAATTTACTTCAGATAAGATATTTCGAATTTTTTCAAGAGATGTTCTATATCGTTACTATACCGTTTATAATTCAAAAAATGTAAAAAAGGTTATAGTAATTATACTAAAACGTATTCAAAGTAATCTATAATATTTATGTATACAACTTCCAATCAAGTTCTAAATAAAAAGCAGTCCAATGTGGGCGGTTTATCTAGTTTCTGACTAATGAATCAAAGTGAACATTAGCTGCGTATATAGAATATATATATAACCAGATATATACACCGAACCAAAGTGTATTTAATTGCCAAAGTCAACAGAGCGGAGTCAGGTTTCGCAAAAAGGTTTCCCTGCATAAAAAACGGTAAAGTTATGACTCAATATGTTGGTCAGGTCAGTGGGGCGTGACTAAACAAGTCTGCATTATAATTTACACTTTCATTCCTGGCAAACTATATAATACAACAATAGATGTGGGCATACGTAGTATACAAGCTGTTAACTTGGCTCAGACAGAGTCATTTCTATATTTGTAATTTTCATGCCAACATTTGCTTAAATATTTGCACAATTTGTCAGCCTGCCTGAAAACACAGGGCGTTTACACTTAGCAAATTAACAAAATTGAGGCAACTCTCGCCTGTAATTAAAATTTTATACTATATACGCGAATCTGAATATTCAGTTTTGGAATTTACTCTCGTCTTTTAACAACAAATTCACTTAAAATGTTGCAAAACTTGTGCCGCCCATTAGAAATTGTTGCAACTATTCATATTATACAACTTAATTTGGTGGGAAAGTGAAGGGTTCAACTCGAGAACTTTGGGGTTCATTGAACTTATTTCGGCAAGTTTTTGGGATTCAAGTTTCAGCGAAGCGTCAACAAGGAAAAGTAATAATGTGAAAAGTTGTTGACTAATTGAATTCTTCAAGGTAACTTACATAAGACTCATGGAAAAATATTATTATTTCAGTAAAAGTTTTCAAGAGAATCTTTTTGAACTTAGAAAGGAATTTTACTTAAGCAAAGATTGAAATGCAGTTGGAATAAAAACTCTCAGATCAAAATATTTTTCCAGCGAACCAATCAAGATAATTATTCTGAATCGGAAATTTTTATAAAACAACTTCCTCAATTGATAAGCGATTTGAAAAGCAGTGACTATATAGGGGCGGTTGGGTGTTTCCTATCTGTAATGAGACTCTCCAATCAATTTAGTTGCTGGTATGATACACCCAGTGTATTTATGGTGTTTGTGTAAAGCAAGCAACAAATCGACTTTAGCTTGAGGAGCGATTTCTTATCACTATAAAGGAGCGTGTGTGTTTGAAGATAACGAAGTCTCGCCATTAACCGTCGACCGAGTCAACTCCAACCAATTAATTTATTTACGTAAACACTTATCACAATAAGTCGCCCCCTAATACGTAATCTAATGATATGCCCAAAGATAATGCAATTAAATAGATACGATTGTGTATATCTACAAATGTCACACGATTTCCCCCAATTATTTCATAATTTATAATTTGCTTATCAATAAATGACCAAAAAAAGAAAGAAACGAAGACACTGGTCAATCTAATCTAACATTTTTAATAATTTGTTAAGCATTCCCAACTTTCATTCACGTTTATTTATACAAGCTTTAACCCAGTTTCCCTGTTTATTTATTATTAATGCTTACCATTCACTGGCCTCGAAAAAATGAAACAACTTATTTCTAAAGGCAAACAATTTTTTGTGGACATTTTCTCGCCAAAGGCCAAGGTTTGTGGGTGTTGGAAGGACCAAAAAATTATTTTTTGGGTGGTTTTTTTGGGGGGAGGTGGCTCTCTTCCATATTTGCTGACCAGCAAAACTTGCGTTCGGCCCATAAATGTTTACGGTTTTTGGTCTGCTGTTTTTGCTTATTTTCGCATCGCATGCAAATTAGTTTGTTTTTTTTTTTTTTTAATTTTTGAACCGGTTAGGGCCGCTAAAGTCGATGTGGTTGATAATGATGTTGTTCGTGGGGTTCTGGTTTTAATAGTTGATATTTTTTTTGTGTTTTCCCTTTTTGGCTTTGCTTATAAACGACGTTGCACTTGACTCGACGGTTTTGAAATGTTGCCCGGTCGGTTGGCAACTAAATATTGGTTAAAGCGGCTGTAAAAGATTTATAATTTCGATGTGGAAGTTGTCTGGGCACGAGTTTGTTTGTCAACTTTAAAAGTCTCTTGAAATTCAAGTGGAAACTGTTGAGATGCTACGAAGTTTATGTAATGATTTTCTGAAGGAGTTAAGTTTTTGATTTGAACAAAAATAAATTTATATTTTGTTTTATTTCACAATGTTGGTTAATGTTATTCATTGTGAATGTAAAAATTTGATTATAAAAAATATGAAATGAATAAGCACTTTAGAAATGTGGAAACAATAACATTTCTAAGAGTTTTAAAAACTTTATCTGCTTCCAAGCGTTCTTTTGTTTATCATATGAAAACCCTTTTTAGCGTGCTGCAAATCCG